AAGGGGAAAGGCCAAGCCGCAGCAATAAAAATTGACGGCAGGGCCAAGGATAAAGGAGCCTGCCTATAAGGGATACGAACTATGGGCAAACCCCGGAGAAACAGCAACTAAGCCACATGTGTCGCGCCCCGATCGAAAGCGCCGTAAATTAGGTCAGCGGGAAAAAAGGGAAAATGTCGAGGGCGCTGCGGAAAAGCGGAAAAACCTTCAACCAGAGTGTAACTCACCCACAGCGAAACAAATCGCTGAAGCATACCAAATCATGAGGGTAAAACGTGCTCACACTTGACAAAGCTGCTAGGTTTTATTTACAGTGAGGAAAACTTAGATTATTAAAGTTTAATACAAATTTTAATACATATAAACATTTTGAGAGCTTCACAAAACTTTTGAATGTATTTATTATATATATTAATACGAAATATATGTTTCTATTTTTTTGACATATTTTTTGAATATTTCAGTAATTTTTTTCGGTGGATAATCAGCTCATCTGATGAACGAACAGATATATAAAACTACTCCATTTTGCCGCAGTAAATGTATTTATCAATTTGCAATTGCAAGTAGTGCACCCAGACAAAAGAGAAATCTCAGGGAATTACATTTTATTGCCATGCGGTTATATATATTTTCGGTTTTTTTCCCGGGAAGCTGAACTCGTTTTCAATGGATAGTCAGGTGCCTAGACTTGCACTAAATAACTTAGCTTCATCTTCTCCACAGTCCCTTGGTTTCTGGGTACGAAACTTTACTTTCAGCACGGTCGAAAGTTTCAGGAGTGTGTGTAAGCCACGAATTCCTTTTTTTTTTTAGCCATTGGTGCAGTTTAAAGTTAAGCCAAGTCGTTGAAAAGTTGGCTTTGCGGCCAACGGCAGCCGGAAGGCTTCAAAATAAATGCGCTGTGAAAGTCAATCAAGTGTTGCAACATCGACTTTCTATCCGCTGCCCCTTCTGCCACTTGCCACTTTCTCTCGGAGTTTTCCAGTAACAGCATTTACATCTTGATTGCAATTGATAGGTGGTCGGCAGAGTAAGTCGAGTGCAGCAGAAGATAGTTAAAAGTGCCTGGCATTTCCTATTAAATATTAATCACGATGAAAGTGGACGATGGAGAATCTGCTGAAATCGATTGATAATGGATTGCTGTTCAGTAATTAATTGAAAAGTTTAATCGCTCAATATATATCGGAAAATGCTTTCAAAATAAAGAATTTCTCTCAGTTAAAGACAAAATTCAAATATTTATTTTTTAATACACTTTTTTTAAAGTATTATTCCTTAATATATAATATATAGATATAAAAATATTTAAAAAAAAAACTCTAAAATATATACCATATTATTTTAGAGTTTCCTGAGTTGTTACCTGCTTTAATTTATTTCCCCCAGCCACTTCTCCGCATTTTCTTCTTTGGCCTACAAAAATAATTGCCTACTTTTCGGTGCCACCAAACTTCATTTGAATTCTCTGGGGTTTTGACACCCATGGGAATAAGTTTCGGTTTCCTCGGCCGTCGTCTGTGTTTTCCAAACTTCTCCTGAAGTTCCCTTCATCAACCAATTGCGACTGTAAAATTATACAAATTAATTTGGGAGCGACAATTGCGTCGAGTCTCATTTGAGTGGGAAAAATAGGGTGGAAAATCCCTAGGCGGGAGGATCTATTCCGGTTGCCATTTCCTGTTTTTGGGCGGCGGTCTATGGGCGTGGCATCGCATTAATTATGCTCAAGTGTCCGCTGGGAAAGCGGCCAACACTTGTTCCATAATGACTTTTGTACCATCAGACGACACGCCCTCAAAAAAATGTCAGGAAAAGGGGACATCAGGCTTTTGATTTGATTTAGATTCCAAGCACCTTTAAAAAAGCAGAGTGCGAGGAAAAATGAAAAGATTTTTAATGCATAAGACGAAGCGTCAAGAGTCGAGCTGAAAATTTATCGGGCCAACAGCAGTAAGGCAATATATCAGAGATTTATGTCAGCATCATCACCCACCTAAAACAGATAGCGTTGGGTTGTGAAATATAGAAAGAGAGCAACAATGAACAAACTATAAACCCAAAAAGGAAAGTAAATAAAACCCTGAAACGCAATACAAGAAAAACAACACTGAAAAGCGAGGGCAAAGCTGAAATTGGTGAGCGTAAAAATGAAATTGAGCAGCAGGCTCTAGTCTATCTATATACACACATATATAGTAAGTGTGAGTTGGGAAAAGTAGGAAAGCAAATGGCAAGCAAATTGTAAACCTTATCAGAGCCTGTAGCTTCAGGATGGGCGAGGAAAATGGGAAAACGGATAAACTGGCAGAAAGCAAACATGCAAATAAATCTGTGGCTCCCAGAAGTTGCTCGACTTAATTTGATTGAAGGAAAAACTACAAAAAAAAAGCTGAGAACGAATAGGGAGTCAAGTGACCCAACTAGGAGAGAATTGCTTCTAATATTTCCTCTTAACGGAAAATAAAACTTTAATTCGTCTTGAAACACTTGTCAAGCTGTAGAAATTCTACCCGATGGTTTAAGATTTTCTGTTTTTTAAGCAGATATAATTTTTTTTTTACTTTTTCATACTAACCTAATTGATGTGGCTTTTTTATTTCTCTGAGTGCGCGATTGAAATAAAAGTTTCTTTGTGGACTGTCATTGATTTATTTCTTATCTTCTTTAAAAGAATTTTTTTCTTTAATGCGTTCATTTCATTACTCATGCTCTCATATTTCGTTTGATTTCTCCACATTATTCAGCTGTGCCTGTTTGCTTTTATCTTTATTTTTCCTACTTTTCCTCAGACTTTTCCCATCTCACAGACCCACTTGTATTTATTTGTTCTCAATTACTCTCGCATCTTGAGGCCGCCAACATTTTTAAAGCTTAACAGCATTTTTCCACCCACTTGACTGCTGAAAATAATATAAATTTATACATATATATATATGAATCCAGGAAGAAAAAGCGAAATTGTTCAGCTCTTATTTCCATTTCTGTGGCTTATTTCGCTTTAGCCCATTTCTGTGCCATTTGTTATTGTTGTTTTACGCTTTCGCACTGCCGCAATTTTAGATATTTCTCTTACTTGGCCAAAAGGGAAAAAGAAGCAGAAACAGAAGCAGAAATTGTGGCCAGCAAAAAGTTGAAGTTTATTTATTCTGCTGTGGGTGTGCAAAAAAAGGGAAGCTGGAACGAAAGCCACCTGCACTTTTTCTTTCACGTGCCAGCGACCACGAGCCACTTTTCCAGGAAAACGGGATGGAAAATGCCTGGACTTTCATTACATGGCCAGAAAACGCAGAAAACTTTTCACTTGTACCCCCGGTTTTTTTTTTGGTTTCTGTTTTTCTTCCCTTTTTCTGTTATGGCCTGCGGTTTGGGCTGCAGGTATTTATATTTAAATGCGGCATGCGGTTCGCCATTGCGCCTATTGTTATGCAATGAAAGTTTGCTCGCCAACAGAGACTCCCTTAACCTCAATTTCGGATGGGTTTTTCCCAGCTCTCCCGTTCTCAAGAGCGCCAGTCCAGACAATTTTCATAAATTTTCCGGGACCTACTCGCCTTGCGGTCTTATGTGTCTATCGCAGCCATTCCTCAGCGACCTTCAATGTCAACGTTTTTATTATGTTATTGACTTCTAACCACATTTTCACACCAAATAAATGTGTCCTTGACAGAAAGGACACACAAAGAGATAGATAAATGTTGGGAGATACCAAAGAGTAAGAGAAAAAACGTTTAGAAAACTCAGTGAACCATAATTTGTTGTGGTTTTCTCTATCCTTTATAGTTTTCGGAGCCTATCTCTATTTCCAATAAGAGCACAAACCAGAATATAGATAAATATGCATAAATATAAATAAATGTGTATACTTGTAATAGTATATGACCGACATCTCTCATATATTGTAAACTGCCCAGGCATAAATATATATATTTTCATACATATTTTTTTTTTGGTTCTCTGATGACGCAAAAAAGTGTTTGCCTCGCCCATTTCTTGGCTCCTTTTTGGGGCTTTTATTTTTTGCTGTGTGCTTGCAAAGTGAAATTTATTAGAAACGCAAAATCTGTTTGCAGATTGTGTATAAGATTTGATTATTTATGGTCAGTTGTTTGTTGTGGCCAGCTAGCCAGAAGCCAACATTGAAAATTGGCTAACAAAACAAGCCAGAAAAAGCGGAGCAAAGAGCCAAGGAAAAAGCGTAAACAGATAGCGAACGCTGGCCAAGAGAGTTGATTTATGTAAATTTCTTGGTTTCGCCCACAAAAGTTGAGGCGGAAATGTTGTGGAAATATGGAAAATTTTATTCAATAAAAATATATTCCTTCCCACAAGCCAAAAACTCGCATTTACAAAAAATACCAATTTCTGTTGAAAGTTTGGATAATAAATAAAGTTTATTTCAATACAAACATTACCCAACCGGCTACAATATACACATTTCCCGAAATGTCAATATTGACAACATATTATATATAGACGGGAAATGTACTCTAAAATGCGTACCCTTCCAAGCGTGTTTCAATGTTTTTAGATAATTTCAAATGCTTTTCTAACAAAAAAAACATTTTTATTTACTTCGTATCCATTAGAAACCCCAAAGTAAATCAACATTTAAAATTTTGCGAAAATAAACTTGCTTTAATTTTGTGAAATCTTATTCAAAGTTGGTGTTAGAGCCAAACAAATCACTTTGGACCCCAATTTCTTGGGAGAATTCTCTCCAACATTCTTTCGGCGTTTGTCTGCTTTCGTTTCCCCAACTAGACGCAAGTTTTGCATCCACTAAATTAAACTAGGAAAAATTCCCCTGCTCACACAAAAAACTCTTCAACACAAATTCAACTAATTAACTTAAGGCTTCTCGAGGAAGCAACGAAAGCAAAGCAAAACCAGACCATTCCAGGATTCTCTCCTCCCATCAACTACAGGAAAAGCAAATAATTTTCAACAAATTTAACTAACGCCGAAAAAAAACTTTACCCTGTTGTTGCTTTCAGAATTAACCCGGCAGAGAAAGGAAAAATTGAGAGGAGAACTGGATAACTGGAGAACTGGAGCGTGAGGTCAAACTAAACAGGAGGTAAGTTGGGTAAACAACCCGAATCGCAATTAACGCAAAGGGGTAGAGTCCTGGGAATCCCCCTAAAAACAGCTCCGTACTATTTGGACAGTTTTTTCTTTGTCGCTTACGGTATTTTATTACAGGTCACTATTTGCATAAGGACTCAAAAGCACTTGCCGCATGCAAGTGAAAAACTATTAGCCTATTGGGGTTACCTTAATGAAATACGCGTAACAGAATTTGCGTTTTCCATGAATAACGCATGATCCAGGTGGACACAACTGCAACTGTTGCTTGAAGCATATAATCGTATGCGACATTTTTTTTCGGTGACTGACAAACTGACAATAAGTTTATTTTAACAACCAGATATCCAGTGGGAAAACTTTAACCCAACTGCCATTAAGGGGTTAAATAGGAACTGTTCTTATTTTTTGTATTTCTTCTTCACTCTGCTTGTTGTACTTTGGCAAAAAGTTTTTTTCGCTGAGTTTTCGTTTTTATTTCGTGCGTCCGCAAATATTGACCGAATTAACAAAAGCTGCTACGAAAGTTTCACCGCAAACAAAGGCGAGCAAATGGCGGTGGCCAGGCATAGTCCCTTCTCTTTTATACATCCCGTTCCTCTCTCTTTCTGCCATCCTGTAAGTGGGTTTGAACCTGTCCTGCGAAGTGTCAACATGTCTTGGTAACCAAAAGAGCAAGTAAGGGGACTCCCCGCAGGTGGAAAACTTATTACTGACACTAAGCAAATTTAACCAGAAAGGTAGGCAGTGAGGTGGTGAACTTTAACCGTACATTTATTCAGCTTGAAATAATGTAATCAATCTACGCAATTTTAGTTTCCTTTAAATTATTCTTCGTTTTACAAATGCTTTTCGAAATACATTTGACAGTAATTCAATTTTGGATCTTTAGACAAAAAATATTTATATTATCGATTTACTTTTTCATAATATTTTTTCAGGAATGCGACTTAAGCAAACTTCCAGCTCAAACAAAGTAGTTTTCATTTAGGCAGGAATCTACACCCAAAACAAATTGTAACCAATCCAAAATATTTCAAACTACAAAAATAAACTAAAATGGAATTCACAGCCATAGGAGTTTGGCTAAAAAAATGCGGCCTTGTTTAGTATTTGTATTTGAAAATTCCGTGCACGTTCGACCACGGGGGTACGTGTTTGGTCCTGGGAATCGAGGACTTGCACAACAGATATCCACCCCCCGGGCAGTTAGAGTCCAGTTAGTTAGACATGCGGGTAGGGGAAAGGGGTGTATGAGGTTTGTCGGGTGAAATGCTAAAAGCAAAAAGTCATGCAACTAAATCCTGTCGAAAACGTTTTAAACTCCCAAAGAAAACGAATAAAAAGGATTTGTGCTAAAAAGCAGTGGAAAATGTGAAAGTCAGCGGGGGTTGGCTTAGACCGGACACTAATGCAAGTGGCTGACTTAATAAAATCCAAAATATGTGGTCCGGCCATAACGAACTTAAATGAGCCAAAAAGGGATTTTCTTGGCTATGGTTACAAAATATTTCGTAGCTAACAAAGCGATTTGGGAAAGAAATTCACACGTCCTTTATTGTTTGTGAAATAAAGATAAATATTTGGGAATTCTTTGACCTCAAATCGAGGTAAATATCATACATATTTTTATTTTTGGTTTTTTTTAAGTGTTCCTTAATTTATTTAATTAATTTCATTTCGTGAAATTTAATTTTGTGTAAACAGAGAAGACTTTCTTAGTCTAAGTAGAGAACAAAATGTCGGGTATTCCCCATTACAAATCCTCTAAGTGAAGTCTGTTGGCAAATAAGAACTTATACTGCGTTGAGTCAGCATAAGTGCAAACCGGCATGCAACATTGCATCCGTGCAATGCAGCTGTACCTCTGTCCTTTATTCCCGCTCCTCGACTCCCTACCCTTTTCTCCCACTTTTCCTAGCCCATTTCCACTGCATTTCCCCAACCAAACTCGCCCCTTATCGGGGAACTTCAGAGTTGTCAATGACTGTCAACGGCAGACAAGCAGAAAAGCGAAGCACGACATTGCAGTTGGGAATCTGGGAGACTGGGGCGGGGCTGTTGAAAACTCCACACTCGACACTGAACTGGTGACATTTCAATTTTCACACACGCTCTGCGGTTTTTGGCAAACGAAGAGCGCAGCAGAAAAACCCACATAGAGGGTGAGAAAAGCGAAAAGGAAAACCGAAAAAAATCAAATCCCAGTCTTAAGTGAAGGTCCAAGCTAAAAAGGCGTGGCTGGGCACAACAGGGGTGTGGCCACTATTGACCGCAAGCCACAAAGTGCAAATTAAAATTCAATAAAGCACAAAGTACCTAACCCAGTGGAACTATTTAGCTGAGGGACTTCAAGCACAGTAGACCGTTTTTGATTGAATTTAATTTAAAAATATTACAGTTATCCTAAATAAAAGATATAAAAGAAAAGTATGAAAATTATGAATAAATTACTTCAAAACTACAGTTTATATTTTTACTAATGATTTGTTTTTATTTTAATATATTATTTTATTATGAAATAAATGGAAATACATTTCCAACTGAGAAAATTTTTCACAAACTTTTAAGTTTTCCAAGTGGGAATAGTTCACCCTTTCGATTGACCTCTGTGACTTGAAATATAATTTTCGTGCGGACTGTGAATTTCATTGGTAGTTAATTCCCAGCCCCAACCCCAAAAGCGAGTCCATCCCCAAATTGCGTACTAATTAGCCACAGAAATTACTTGGTTACTGGGAAACAGCAAATGGGCGTGGGAATTCAGGGATTGGGAATGTCTGGGTCCTTTGTTAGGACAGTTCAAGGTCCTTTGACAAGGTCAGTCATTAACCAATAGTCCTCCCATTCCTTCGTTTTCTCTATAGTTAAGCTTATTTGCACCCCATTTTACCTTACTCTTGCTCTCTATTTTCTTTGTACTGAAAATTGCATGCAAATTTCATAGCCAGGAGGGGGCTTTTCATACGAGGCTTTTCCAAGAGCAACAAAGGCTGAGCCGGCCATGGCTTTTTCACACCCCCCACCCCTCTCTTTGCCTCGTTGACATTGTAAATAAATGGGTGTGACTGAAAACTGTGTCAAGCTGCAAGTGCAACAAGAACAATAAAAACAATGGCAAACAGGAAATGTGCAAAAATTTGTTTAAAATTTCAACAGTTAAGCACCAGTGGTGTTTCTTCTTTCGTATATGTGAAATGTTGTATGTTGGGTGTTGTGTGACCACGTTTGTATGTAAACTTAAATACATTTTATTGTTTGAGTTGCAAAGTGGGTCAAGCAATTCCAGAAAAATCGCCTGCAAATATCCACGAGCTATTAAAAACTGTTAATAAGCTATGAACGTTAAGGCTGAGTAAGAAATAATGACTGGGTAGCATGACTTCTTTAGTTATTAAGTTCAAAAGTCTACTTAAAACGGAAAAGAACACGGAGCACATATATATCATAAGCACTAATAGTTTTAATCCTCGTTTTATGTTTATGTCTCACTCAGTAGCTCTTCAGACAGTCTCCGTATCTGCATCTCTTTATCCTTGGCCTCCCATCCAATTTATGCTGCAGTGCGAAAATAAATCTAGTAAAAGCATGGCAAACATATTCATATATCAAGGTGCCACATAATTTTTATGCGAGCAACAAAAAGTGAATAGAAAACAAAATAAAAAGTGAAGATGTGAACGAAGACCTAAGGAAAGTGCTGCATAAAAATCCCACAAGTGCATAAATTTCAAGCTGATTCTATGGGGTTATGATGCTCTCAAGCAGCAAACAGCCCTAGGAATTGGGTAAATTTAATATGCCCGTTGCACTAGGCAATGAAACAGCTTGTGTAACTGCAATGGTGCAACACGTGCATGTGTGCCACACCTGCCGAGATTTTTGGACATGGCTGCATTTTCCTTCTTTCCCTTACATTTCCTACCAAGTTATAGCCACAATTTCTGGGCTCCAACTTCAGCTTATTTCTTTCTTTTTATGCATCTTAGTTCTTTCTTACACTCCCTTTTTTGCATTCACAAGTCGAGATTTCCAGGGGCCAAAGTTGAGCACTGGGAAAAACATTATTACGTGTCAGTGATGAAAAGACATTTGTATTTCTGGATCCTACCTACAGATACCCTTCAAAATCAAATTTATATTATACACTAAGACCTGACATCTAATGGCAACTTGTAGTTGAAGTAAATATTAATAACATTTATTTTTGCTGTGCACTATTTGAAATGAAAAATAGAGAAGCTCTTCGCCGCGTAAAAAACCAAAAAGTGTCACCAGGACGACAAGGAAGCTTCAGCTTCTGTTGCTTCTTGGGCAGAACTTTGCATCAGCTTGAGCAAATAAAATTTTTCGAAGCTCAGCAGGTGTGCCAGTAGCGGTTTTCTGAGGTGAGCAAGGTGTAAGGAATATCAGTGGGGGCGTGGACCCTCCTATTAGCCTGGTTCGTATGCCAACTGAAGTGGCAATAAGTGCCATGCATATTGTCGCCAGCAGCTGCAGCTGACTCTGCTCGACGATGGTAACAGGGGCAGAAGAGGGATAAGAGATTGCGAATGCAAGTTGGCTGGCAGAGAAACTTGGCTTATTAGAATTACAATCGCTGGATAAGAAGTGGAAGAGGTCGAGACACACTTTAGAAGCAGAAAAAAGTTCATAAACCCTTCAGTGAAGTATCTGGATACTCTCAACAAAATTATGACTCAGCAGAGCAAGAACATAATTTATTTATTAGCAGACCACATCTTTTATTTAACTGTTTGTAAATTATTTATTTAACATAGTTTAAGTCTTTGGAGAGAAACACAATTTTGTCCAGTTTTTTAATATAAAAATAGTTCTAACTATTGATTTAAACTTTATTTGTGGGAAAGTTAAGAAAATAACACTTAACTTTGGGGTTACGTCACATCTCAATTAGATTAAAAATTTACCAATCTTGTATTAAGCACAATACAAACTTCATACCCAATTCTTGTTAGCCACGCCGCAAAA